TATGTAAGTAGGCGCGCGCAACTCCTGACAGATCAACTGGTTGATTGTGGCGAATGCGACGAAAAAGATGGAGATGGGGGGAGGAGTTAACGGGAGGTTGGATCTGGAGATTTAGACTACCTATTAGAAAAGGAGCGGTCGGCACGTCGCCAAGCGGAAAGTACAGTACTTGTCGTTCCCTAGAGTTCACTAAATCGTGCAGCAGAAGGACAGAGACTAAACTAAACAAGGGTAGTTGGGGTTGTGAAAAGCGCGTTTTGTTTATTTCGTGACGCGCGTGTGGAGGCAGGTACGCCACTAAGCAGGTACGTCCTTGATCCTTGTCACAATCGAGACCGTGCGTCATGCCGGGATGATACTATATACTTTGCACTAATAAGTAATAAGTACCTATGTACTGACCTACTGTTGTATTGTACAATAGGTACCTTCCGTAATACCCTCAACACCTGCCTTACCTACAACCTACGCGCCTACCTTAAGGTATTCATTGTTTGCTGACCGCCTTCTTTTGACCTCGGGAATTTCTATATTAAAACTGCAGATGCATTCCCCCTTTCTAATTAATAGCTTCCAAGGTTAGGAAGTTTTTCCTTCTTCAATATTGCTAGTGAGGTTACTCAAGTCATATATGTACATTCATGAATAATGCACGCGTTGGAAGTAATCAACATGAAGTTGGTGGGCCGCCTCCTCGTGTCCGCCCTGTATTGACTTAAATTCCATTGTTTAACATGAGGTCCCAGCTCATGCAATAATAATTATTTGGTGTACTATGTATTTCCTGTTTGACTGCCCGATCTTGTGGACAGGAAAATACATAGTAGCTAAAATATAATATGTACATAGCCACATGGATATCCTGTCAACTGATGCGCGCGCTGATCCGGAACCCTACCCTTATCCTACCCTACAAAGGTACCCGTGCTAGGTACCAATGTCATCCCGCCCTGCCCATCTGCAGCCACCCCCAGCTGCAGGCGACGTTAGCTGTAGCCTCAAACAACCCCCACCAGTTATCAGCTCGCATCGTCGGATTGTTCAGACACGGCGCCAGCCATCAATAGGGACCATTCATCGTAGCCTCTCCTATTTTCCCCTTTTCCTCTTTTTATTTTTTCTCCCACTTGTCTTACGAGTTAGGGTCGGAGAATTCTAGGACTGATCACCTTGCCGAAACCCGTCACATTTCCCCTTATTAAGCGTCTTTTAGGTTGTAAGAGATATACGGCCCAAGAGATAATATTGGCCAGGAAGGGAAATAAACAAATAGTCAAAAAGTAAACAATAATCTTAATACGACGGATCAATTATTATGATCTCATTATTGAGATTCATGCACAGTTGGAGGCGTTAGAAGAGTTGGAGGGTTGGAGGGCGGAGGGTTGGATGCAACTCCCCCAACTTCAGGGTCCCCTGTTGAAAAAGCTTGGGCCATATAATTGTTATTCCTTTTGCTTCTTTTTTTAAGATCATCTCACATCATCACATGCACATGCGGCATCTTCGCTCTAGTCCACACGTGCCGCAACTGCGAACCACAACCACAACCGCAAATGTAAGCAGCTTGTTTTTTTTGCAGCATAAGATTAATACTTTAAAAATAAAAAAAATAAAAAAAATAAGATTAAATCGATATGTGATAACCCCAACTCGCGGTAGGACCTCATCAGCCCCCCCCCCCCCCCTCAAAATTACCGATGTCTACCTATAACCGTTTAATCACCACAAGGAGAGTCCGGGGTAAATCATGATTTTCCCAGGTCGCACCGCATCCGTATTACGAATTAGGTATCCTTCTAGACTTTCCGCGACAGATTGCAAACAAGAGTCTCGGCACTGCCGCCGCAGTCTCAGTCAATGTTGATTTGACTCAAGTTCGCGCGAATTGTATCACTCGAGTTTGACAGGTTTGACAGTTGGGCGTTTGTCAATCGCATTATGGCTAACCTAATAACTTAAGACCTAACTTAAGGTATTATGTCAGTTAGGGTTTAGGTTAGGTTAGGTTATGTACCTAACCATTATTTTGTCTATTAATGTTTCGGGGTCCTCCACTCATGTAACACTAACAACGTCCGTGGCAGCGGCAGAGAATATTGGAGTCCGAGTGTCTTGTAAAGAGGATCTACCCGTTCGTCAAAATAACGCTTTCCGAGATCCGACACTCGTCTTTATTTTATTCTCTTATCATGAATCTATGTACCTAATCTAATCGTCTTTTTCTATCCAGCACCCCCCCCAATCGCGGGGCATCAAGATTAGAGATTACCTAGGTACCTAAGGTAGAGATGACATAGATTGGATAGATTGATAACAGTGCAACGAGTCTCCTCACAATATTAACGACAGGGACCTATACTTAATTGTCTATTCCCTATTCCCTGTTCCCCATTGTTGTCCACCAGCATTAAGAAAAGACTACTCCAACGTACCATCCAATCCTCTGTTCTAAAATAGCTTCAAACTGCCGATAGGGAAATATGCGCCACATACATACATGATTTAAAAGTCCGCTACCCCATTTTACGCAATGTGAACTACTAAAAAAGGACGTTCGCAAGCAATTACCCTCGTATGTATACCCTAAGTTGAACCCACATTCTTCATTGGGCGCATGTGTGTTAGGGTTATGTGGTGTAACTTATAAAATAGAATTTTAAGTTGGACCAGCGTATGAAGAAACGCTATTTTGTAGCCGCAACGTTCAGCTTTAAGCTTCTTCCACGTAAGCCTCAACATTACGTGCCACGTACAACTTCTGTGGAGGTACAAATGGAGATAGAAAGCTCCCTTCCTTCGTTTGCATCACTTCCGCAAGTATACGAGGATGGTTTTCCTCCGCCGTGAAATCGGGCAGTTCTACAGCACCGGCTCCATTCTGTATCTTCAGGCGCATTTGGTCTTAACGGCTCTCTGGGCTGCATTAGCATCTTTAGCGACGCAATTGACTGGTGCCACGCTAATTTCCAACCCTTCATTTCTCCTCTGTCGTCGACGCCGCTTCAAGCCCGTTCCCATAAATTGAGGGGTCACGTCTAGAGACCAAGGTATTATTCGACCTCAGAGCATTCGCTTATATCGTCTTACCAAGTGCGTGGGTGGATATGTAGGTATCGTGTTGTTTGGGCATCTTCGCTTCGCAGCCCTCTGAGTCACAAAAATAGGAATCTAACCTAGTTACTTGCCACATGTCGCGTTTGGCCCTTACGTGAAAAGCAATAGAGAGACATTATGGCTAGTTAGATACTAGGTGACGCCATCTTCACGGTGGTCGATAGACGAAAAGATCAGACTCCTCGGGGATCTCCCGGATCTCCGCCGGTAGATCAACAATATCAATGATCCCGTCTAAAACTCACGGACTTTGAACCAACGTCATACATTTTCGAGGACTGTTTGTAAGACAAAATGACACAAGTTGAGGAGAGTAGAGTTCTTCATGGAAGAGGGGTAAACGATAGCTCGAGCAATGAGCTCTCCGGTTCTTCACCTAAAAAGGCGATGGTTTGGTCCAAATAAATAGTTTTCGAGTATAGTGACCGCCAACAAGCTCCTATGTACAGTACATACGTAACGATAGATTCTAAAGTAGGTAGCGCCTATACGTAGTAGTATACTATGTGGATAGCCGCTGCTGATGTGGCGAATAGACATGAGAGCTACCGAGACTTAATGTACATGTTTAGCGGGTTGCCTATAATAACCTCCTTTATACTTGGTGGGCTAAAGCCCGCCGGTGTTGACTAAATGGTTTTATCCCACAGTCTGTCATTATCCACAATATGACTATATTTGCATCGTGTGTTGTACTATGTTTACCGTCATGTTTAGCGGCTTGCACAGCCCTCCGAGTTGAGACATCACGAAAGTACCATGTGCGCTAGATGCTAACACAATCTTCTTCGAGTTGTGCTTTTGCTTTTCGTTGTCTAGCTCGTCGCTAAAAATAATCACATTGTAAAATCTCCTTTGTCTTTTAGCTTATATTCCCCTTTTTATATACAGTTTTCTAAATTGCCATATTCGTCCAAGTATCTGCTTTTCAGACGGTTCTCGGTTTATTTTTATTTTTTACTCATGTAAAGTTAACATTTTTCGTCAAACTTTGTTTCACTCGTAGATCAAATATAACATTGATATTATATATAACCTTAGGGTGTGTATGTGCTCTATCCTGATATTAAACCTTAGGTGTCTATTATAGATGAGAACCGTGACATTTTCGTATTTTTTAGTTTGCAATACAGTATTCTCTTATGGAAAGCATATTCAAGAAACAACTAAATACATTCGTAGGTATATTCTGGAAGGTATCTTACGAAGTTAGAAAATAAGCCTCCGTAAAAAGAAACAACGGTATTAGTTATGGATTGGATCATTCTATAATGTTGTGCTTACACAGAAGACTGAAACTCGTCAGGAGTTTAGTCTACGTGTCGTCTGTCAGGATTCTAGATGAGACATCTAAAACAAAGGACATGTTCAGTATGTATAGGCACAGACTCTTGTAGACAGATTAGAGTTCCTCGCGGAATAACGAAGTTGTTTCCCTACTGTTTAGTTCCACCTCGTGACATCGTCATTTTCGCTTTGAAGTGGCTGTCCATGTATCACGAGGTTGAAACCAAAATGTGTCATATGTCGAAGATGCTGCAAGGCTTTTTTTACATACACAAAGGAAGTCCTTGACTTAGGTCCTGAGTCACGGTGTTATCTGATGATCCACCAGATAATATCGTGACTCCTATAGTAACCATGACACCGTGCTAGATCCCTTTTTAACAACTACGCATGCTAATTCATAGATAATGTATATTGCCAGTAGGCTCTATACCGCTTATAAACCTGAGTTGACCGAGTTATTAGGTGCCAAGCCTCATATACCTCACCTGGCTCCAACACACAAACGTGATAACATATACCCAGACCTTTTTCATAGTTTGGCAGTAGAACCAACTAGCTTCGTCTACAATTCATTACTTCCATGTTGGTGTCATGCAACCCGTAATCAACTCGACGTACATAGCCGAGAAGTAAATCTATATTTAAACCTAGTTATCTAGAATCCTGACACTCCAAGTTCCTCCTCTCTTACAAGCTACGAGGAAACAAGACCGCCATCAAGTTACAACTTGACTCAACACACTGATAGGAGTCACAGGCCTAGCTATATCAACCAATTCGACAAGCTGCTTGACTCCCGCACTTCTATCCCCTAAGTATTATCCATGTTCCAGCTGTCCTTCCGGGTAAGATCACCCCGTATTTCTATATATTGGTAACCTAGAACGATACGTTAAGGAGGGCGGTCAATTATTCGTTGAAATCAAGTGATCGGTGTTAAGTGACCCTGCTGTTATGGATTCCCAGTCCGGCCGAAGGTTCTCCGATATCTATTTAGTAAAATTCCCATCGTCTCAATCTACGAAACATTAGGTAGGTACCTGTGATTAGGTTGAATATCCGTTCATTCGACTAATCTTCGCCTATTTAATCCAAATATAGTGCTAGTATATTCGTAATATATATACTTTAAAATAAGATGCCAACAGGACAGCAACTCTATTCAAGCGCATAGCATTTCTCCACGCTAGCCGCATCATTCCCCCACCAATTCGGCATGCCAATGACCTTTGCGCTACCGAAGATTAAGAAGATCAAGAGCATGTTTAGGTTGAACCCCGCGTCGAACGCAGCCGCGAGGATAAAGTTGTACTTGGCCCATAGCTGGTAGCGGTACCTGTACGCCCAGAACATAACGACGAACCCTCCTATGAAACGCGAGAAGTACCCCGTCGACACGTTGCCGTAGAAGATAGACGCGCCGCTGAAGAAGATGGTGGTGTTGAAAAGGTGGAATTTGGCGCGAGGGAATAGCCGGTGGAGCGCGTATATGATGGCCGGACAGGCCGCGCCGACGAGGAAAGCATAGGGGAGAGGACGAAACTGTTCTTGTTGGAAGAGTCGGGTTGGCCCCTTTTGAATAGAGTCAGTATCTAGCGTTCGTGTGTAGTACTTGAAGACTAGAAAACAAGGCAACTTACTAGTAAAACATATTGAACCCCCATAGTCAAAGAGCCGGCCAGACTTTGACCTGTCCATATATGGGCTGGATCATCAACGGCTCCAGTTAGGTAGTCGCGCTTGGAATCCATGATCCAGCGCATTGCTGCATAATTGATCGGCACACCCATAGTGATTCCGAAGATTTGCGAGAAGAAAACCGTACGTTGAGGGACGTGCATGTAATGCCCTATTTTTTGATCTTGCAACATATACTGGGCCCTATACCAGGCTATCATTATTGTTAGTATTCATTACGAGGAGGGAGTTGAGTGGAAACGGGTAATCGATGGGACGAGGGTATCATACCACCACCAGCCAGAGCACCATACACCTGATGAGCAAGATTAGCGTACGAAACACTCGTCAGGACGAAAGACTTACGCTAGCTCCAATGGGATTGCGATGAGTGCTTAGGTTTTGAACCATTGTACCGTATAGCAATTCATTGAACGTTCCGATGGGCAGTTGGAAGTTGCTAATGGCATAAAGCCAGCCGAGAGGCACGACGATAGCAGCTCCTGTCGCAAGTGCCACCAAGTAAGTCCACCAGGGAATGAATATGATGTTCATCCCAACCATTGTCATTACACATGTAAATGAGGCGAGGAACAGCGTAATATACCACCACAGAGGAACCTCTTTATAAGATCTCATCAGGACGTTCAATCTATCGGAATCTACTTACGTTAGTACCATAGGAAGTATGTACAGAGGTTGGGTAGGCTGGTGATATAACGAGGCATATCAACGTACTGTGGACATATCAGCTTCAACGAATACCTCAGGATAGATTACCGGTGGGTATTCTTAAGACATACCATTGATGATTGATTCCTTGGCCCGGGTTTTTCTGGCGGGCGCGGAATTTCCTGTACCCGTCTCTAATTTGGCCAGCCCCAAAGAACACGATCCAAGAGTAAGCCGAAGTGTAAGAGGCATAATCAAAGAAAATGGACCATAGGTAATGAACGCCAAGGTACAACGGGCCGTTTTCTTCGTAAGCCGTCTGGTTGAAGGTGTTTTGCGGTGTGACTAGATCGGTGACAGGATATTTGCTCCCATCGGCAGTACAAGCTCGGTTCGTCATCAGGCAATGAGGATAACTTCCAAGGTGTCCCCATTTTGCAGCGGGCAATAACACCCAACATGACATAACAAAGGAACAGAAAAGTACGACTTGCGACCACCAAGGACTCAAAAATAGCGGAACTCCGGCGAGATAGTTGGACTTTCGAATCATTTAGTATGGTTTCATTTATGCCTTATTGGAATTTCATCACAAGACTCACGATATTAGCCCAATCAAAGGAGAAATTGAGAAATCCCATTCCACCAAGACCAGATCCTATAAAATTAGCAACAGGATTATGAGGAGCAACCCAGCACAAAAAGGCCATCGAGTTCAGCATTGGGAATGCGTATTCTGGCAAGAACTGCCAGAGCGTGATGCCGAGGAGCACCCACCAGAACACGCGCATCTGCTTGCGCGCGGTCGGAGTCGGATTCTTGTTCTGTCGACTCTGGGTTTCGAAAAGCGCAGCTTGGCAAAGGGCCTGGAACCAAGGGTATGCAGGTTCGTATAGTAGGATTTGACGCGCGAGAGCAGCGAAGGCATACCCGGTAGCGTCAATGGACCACATGAAAAAGATGGCCGCTGCGGGGTGAAGGCGTTCGTTAAAGTAGAGGTCGCCAAGCGCGATAGGCGTGGTGCCTCCATTGCCCGTCGCACCAGAGGCTGCTGTTAGGGTGATTAAGACATGCTCCTTGACCGACCATGGACCTGGGTTCATGTTGAAAGACCAACGGGTGAAGGGAATGCGGAATTGGCGATTAGGAAGCACGCGGGCAAGCCAGAGGCCGACATAATTGGAGGCGATCTGGACGAAGAAAACTGAGTAGGGCGCATACGTGGTTCGGTAGCTGTTCATCGAAGAAAGAAAAGCTCCAGGGATAACGAAGAGAATGGAGAGAATAAAATATCGAAATGTTAAGGTGGGTAAAGTCGTGTCATCGTGAAGACTGACGACTCGCCTCACCTCTGGAGGGATCTGGCTGATCTCGGGGTCATTTTCGTCCTCGAGATCGGCATCAACCTCGACGGCGTCTTCGACAGGAAGCTTTTCTTTGCTTGGGCTGCCGTCCTTAACTATGTTCTCTGTCGAAAGAGGTCGTTGGTTGGCTGGAGGCTCAGCTGCGGGAATTGCGCTAGAGAACTTGGCTTCGTCCTTGGCTTCGCCCGAAAGGCGGGAAGACATCTCGGCAGCTTAAGTTCCTGGAATATATCGACGCCAAGGAGAAACTTGGATACTTGGCGGTGATAAACCACTTTTAATTATAGAACTTCACACTTCCCTTCAATTTGACGGAGCGCTGACTTAACGCACCAACGAAGGTCACACGGTAGGATGAGCGAAACCGTGAAGACCGTGAAAATCGCGAGGAACATATTATGTATTAAGTTTTTAATTAATCTTAGGGTAGTATTACCAACGGTATAGATAGATCCAACCGCAGGGCCGATTGCATTGTGTAGGTACATAGCGACATACTATGTAGTTCGTGTTGCTGGTCTGTAACCATGTAGCCGATGGTTGAAAAGAGTTAGCACCAATCACGCAATCGTAGCGAATATAAACGTCTCGCGGTGTGTGGGTTATATCTCGGCGCATCTCACCATCCGCATTGCGTCTAGACAAAGCCGGGTAATACCACGGCCATGGATCAAACGGTTCTGCTGATAGGTTTAGGATGGTTTTAGTGGTTCGTCGTATAGACTTGCCTACCTCTTACCCAGGGTCGTAGTGTTATCCCTGTTCCTCGGGTAGACATGGCAGACGCGGTGGACATGACAGCGTCTTTTTTATTTTCTATGTTGGTAACACCAAAGCAAAAATCCAAAGCGGCAAAAACTTAAGAGATGGGTTAGCATGTTAGTATCAGGTACTCGGATGCACGGCATGATAGATCCAAGTACATAGGTATTGATGTGGAAAACTGAATGGAATGTTGGATGAGGATGAGGATGAGTCCTCTGATAGGTGCATAGGTAAGAAAGGCAAGAAACAAAGCCGAATCTGGTGAAGGAATTGAAAGGCTTTACCCATGTTGGTGCTTAGTAACAACAACTGAATTATACACTCGGGGAGCTTCAATTGATAAATTGATAGGGGTAGTTGGAGGCTTGGTGAACGACTACTAGGACTTAGGTGTAAGCCACCGGGTTTCTCTGCGGACATCTTCTCAACATGGGATTTGTCAAAGCCGCACCAGTATAATCAATATATACTTTGGACGAACTACAGACGTGTGCCCTGCGGAATTTCGGGAAGATCTATATCCCTTCGTCGCGTCTCGCCGTTTTCCAGTGACAAGATGTCTTAGAAACAGCCCCCCCTCCTAGGACCACGCATGTTTTTCTTATTTCAGTCAGCTGTGCTTCAGCTCAGAACTGGATATTTTGTTACTGTACCTTCCATTAGTGGGTCTTTCAGTGAGGTTCAGTATTCTAGAAAACGACACATATGAGTGTAAAATTTCAGTCGCTGCTGTATCTTACTCCGGTCTTACTACCGTATAGCATTGCTACTACTTACGAATAGGACTTCGAAGGGAGACATCCAATGAACATGATATGGATATGTCGTATAACGCCAAAAGCCTCGTTTCTGGTATTACGTTAGCCTCGTCGGCCTCGTCAGATGTCTCGGAACTCGCGAGCTGTCAGCAATGGCCACTACCATTAACTTATCCGAATGCCTGCATGTCATCGGGGGCGCTAGGCAGCAAGGTTACACATTCTGCCTTTCAATTTATAAGGTGCCATAAAACTTTAGGTATCCCTCGGCATATTTCTATCTATCGAGCATAGCTGCTTATAGTAACCCGACACATCTCGCCATTTCACAGCAAGAAAGGGGTCCCGCCTAAGTATTGTATGTATACGAAACCATGAATGGAGCGAATATGTTCAACCTTGACCAGTCTCAAATACCCAGCTTGGCGCCTCCACCGGGGGTGACGCCCAACTTTATCGATCCACCGACGATAGCTCCGACTTCTAGAATACTCACAGGCTTGACGCTAGCAATTATGTATTGCCTTTTAACTTTGCGAATTTATACTCGAGCGTGGGTAACGTGCAACATGGGGATAGAAGACTGTAAGTTTTCTTCTTCTTTATATTTGTTAGAGGAACATGCTAATGTGGTGGCTATAAGGCCTCTGTCTCGTCTCAGCGGTTAGGAGTGTTCAGATCCGTAGCCCACGAGAAGAAACTAATTGCATTTCAGATAGGTACTACTTGTTATTGTTCTCTTATACTTAAAGGTTCGTCACAACTGGAATATCTGTACCCACTCGCCCAGAGGCTTACAATAAGCAATAGCCTTTGATAATACGATGGGCCGCCATCAATGGGACATACCGATGTCTGAATTTCATCAGAAAGTTGTTCTGAAAGTATAGATGTCTCTTCCAAGCACTAGATTAGAAGACAATTGTGGTCTTCATTGACTAATTTTGATGTTACCTAGTATAGCTTTGCACCAAGCTACGTCTATTCGACTGCCGCGGTCTTCATCAAAGCGACACTTCTGGCATTTTATCTTCGCATTTTTAACCCCGTGAAGGGGGCTAGGATCCTCATTTGGATAACACTGGCTGTAGTGATACTCTTCTATTTGATCGTCGTCATAACAATCCAGGTCACCTGTAAAGGATACACTCCAACAGCGCAGATATTCAACACCGATGCCGAGGTTGATTGTTCAGTACCGCAGGAACCTCTTTGGGTTACCACGAGTGTATTCAGCACTGTTACGGATTTACATTTACTTGCGATACCCGTGGCTTTGACTCTTAAAATCCGACTCCCACCCAAACAGAAGATTGGTGTGTGCTGTATTTTCCTCACGGGATTGATGTGGGCTTTCCTATTTCCTAAAGTTCCACGCTTAATTCTAACGCCCTCGTAGAGCTTGTATCTTTTCTCTCCTTTGCGCAGTGTATCGCGTGAAGGCGATACGATCTCATGATGTTACCTGGCTTGGTCACCTGGTATCTGCGTTCGCGTAAGCTCTACGACGACCACCACTGGCGTTTTGTTCTTTGCATTTCTATAGGCGAACTAACACCATTTCTCTTAGAGCGGTCGAGCTCAACGTAGGGATTTCCTGTAGCTGTATGCCGATAGTCTTCGTCCCATTCCGCAGATTGACTCGAACCGTCTTACGGGATTCCTTACCCAAATTCATTTCGACTTATCGAAAGCACAACCATAGGGAACTACGACATGAACCTAGCGATCCCGAGATTATGATACAACTAGAGCAGCTACCCCAGGTACCTAAAAGTTCATGGACGGGGTTAAGATCTTGGGTGCGCAAGGTACACATTTCTCAGTCCGGACGAGTAAACGATGTCTCTACTTATAGGGAAATCGCCTCAGTCGATATAGATTATCATAAGCATCTGAGGAAAGAGTCTCGCGACGCCCGGCCACCTCAATACATCCCGGCCGAGATACTTCAAACACCCCAGAGAGCCTTGACAAGTAGGGCATAAATATCTAGGCTGTCTTCCACATAAATTTATGTTTTCACGCTCCCAATACCCCCTTTTCTCCTACCCTCACCAGATCTGGAAAACCTCAGGATCCTATTGAAAAAAAAAAGAGAGAAAAAAAATAAGACTGCTGATTATTCATCTACATGATGACAACTGGGTAACGGCTTCAGCACTTCCCGCGCCATCGGGATAAACCAGCTTACGAGATACTGGCTGGATCTACGATAAAGCTTAGAGTAGACAAGATCAGCGCATGGTGTAGTTACACGGCCTAAGTATTTTTTAAAATAATAATAATAAATGAGAATCACTACATATTTTGCCTCCTCGTTTAACGGTTGGGAAAACACACGCTACCCCTATTTCATGGCCCCCTATCAACAAGCTAGTAGGGAAAAAAAGGAACTCCAGAAATCACGACACGCCGAACTATTCCTGACTAGACCATAACCCCCTCCCGAGCTCATCAAGTGTACAATTCGCACTGCGTAATACGAACTAAGCCCCGGGCAGAAAACAACACCAACACTGATGTCCCTTACACCACCTCCTGGCCCTTCTCAATCCACCTCACCACCTCCGCAGCTACTACATCGCTATTCCTCTCCATAAACATCATATGGCCATTCCCACAGATTCCCTTCTCCTCCAGCCTCAAGTACTCCGTCCCCCTAACTCCCGCCTGCCGCAAGTACCGCACGACCCCCAGTCGTACTGCGCATGATACGACGCCTGCGCCGTGACAACAAGCACCCTCACGCGCACCAGATTGACCAGTTGCCGAGGTCTCCCCTCCCCCTCCCCCTCCGCCTGCCCCATGCAGTCCATCAGATCCGGCCCCGGCGCCGGGACGATCATCTTGGCGAAGTCGGCATCTGGATCGGCGACGGGCGGCACGTAGGTCAACGGTGCGTTGGCGATGCCGTAGGGCGCGCTGGCGCCGGGTTTCAAGCCGACCTTGCAGAACGGCGGGCGGGCGGGGTCGAGCGCGACGATCATCTCGACGGCGGCCGGGCGCACGTCCGCGGCCAGCCAGAGGGTTGGGGCCCCGGCCGAGTGTCCGACGAGAATGGCAGGCTTGCCGATGCGGTCCAGGAGCGCGGCGCAGGCTGCCTGCGACGTCGTTTCCTGCGTCGCGGCGTCGCTTGGAAACTGCTGCGCCGAGGCGAAGAATTGGTCGAAGATGGGATCGCCGATGCGGCCGGTGCCGGGCCATTGCGTGTGAAGCTTGGCTTGGGGCCATGTCCCGAAGTCCCTGCATGCGGTGAACATGGTCTGGATGGTCTCGGCTGGGTAGGTGATCATGGGTCCGTTGCCGGGATGCCAGGGGCTCCTGCCGCAGAAGGGCAGGTCGACAAGGTAGCACTCGAAGCCTTGGGATAGGAAGTACGAGGCCCAGCCTGGTTGTCCGTCGGGCTTTGTGAGCCAGTCCTGGTCGATGTTAGCATAACTACCTAATACTATGTATGACTGAGTAAGATGATTAAGGGGGTTGAAATTGAGACAACCTTACCGCGCCAGACCTTGTTGCGCCGTGGATAAAAACTATAGGAAAAGGTCTGCTTGGACTACTATCTGACTCCGCGGGGATAAGTCTTTCGACATACATTTGTCCTTGCCGCGTATGGTTTCCGGCATCATCTGGTACATATTGGCCACCCACGTAGAATACTTCCCGTCAATGAAGAAGGGAAAGGTTTGCTGTTGTATTGCCTTCCATAGCTATTTGACTTGGGCGTGGATATAAAGACTACAATAAGATATCCTCTACCATCAACGTATACGCGACATTAAATACAAGTCAGCAGCGACATGAGGAGACGGGGTCTTGATGATGACTAGACGCATATACTCGTAAACGATGCACTTATTCATTTATTCACTTATTCACTTAAGCTAGATATATAGTTAAGCCACATTAAACTCGTCGGCCAATCGTCAATTGTATCATTAATTTCATTTCGTTGCGCACCCTCCAACGACAACCACGCCGTCTGTCCTAAGGCACAGAACCTCAATACTAAGCCGATGCAGTAAACGCAGTCTTAAACGGAGCAAATCGAAAGCTTGAGTATCATGTAACCCCTAGTTAACTCCAGATAACGCCTTCGGCACCTAGGTAGGTAGTTTTCCCTTCCCTTCCCCCCCCCCTAAAACCCCCCTAAAACCCCCCTTTAACCCTCCAACTCGTGAACATACACCCCATGCGCTCCCCCTATCGCAGGACTCCCCTGCGGCTCCGGACTCATCGGCGAAACGGGCATCTGGCCCACACCCGCCTCGCTCTTCTCGGCGTAGTTCCCGTGCAGCGTCGGGTTGTACGCTGTATATCTCTTCTGGTGCTGGGAGGAGAAAGAGGCCGCGGTGGGCGAGAACGGGATCGAGGCTGCGGAGGGGGAGTACGGGACAGGCGTGGTGGCGGTGACTGCGCTCTTGGGCTCGTCGGCTGCTAGCTCTGACTGGAAGCTGGGGTACGTCTGGCCGAACGGTGGTGGTGGTGGTGGTGATACGAGGGAGCTCGGTGGGTTGGGATTGTTGGTGGTGCTGGGGAGGTCCTGTCGCGCCATGGATGCGGAGTCGAGGCTGGAGCCGTGAGTCTTTGCTCTGCGGCGCTTGCGGAGTAGGAGCGCTAGATATATGAGACACCCGATTAGCAGGGCGCCGACGCCTGCGCCGACACCGATGCCGGCTTGTGCTGCTGTGGAGAGGTTTGGGCCCGTGCCGGTGTTTGTGGATGCGTTGGGTGTGTCGGTGGGAGGCGTGACGGGGCTGCCGTCGCCTGGTCCTAAGTCTACTGGGGTGGGGGTGCTTGACGAGTCTGAAGACGACGTGGTGGATGATCCTGCGGATGATGTCGAGGATGTCAATGATGATGTCTCAGTCGAGGGCACCGTTATTGTAGTGGTCGCCGGAGTTGGATCTACAGATGGCTTCTTGCCGTCATACCAGGATAGAGTCCCGCCTAGACTTGTTGGAAGTAGCGCGACATTGTCGAGCTTCGGCTTGTCGGAGATGACTTGGGTGTCGCTGGAGCATTTGCAGCGCGCAGGCGGCTTCGAACCTGGCACGTCGCCGGCTTCTTTGCACGCTGCCCATATATCGTCACCATCGAGAATATCGGGATTGTCATCACAGCGCTGTAGTCCGGTCCACTGCTGGCTGCCGTACTTCCCCTTGTACGGGCAATTGGGCGCACTGTATTTTTGGTCGGTGCAGCCCGCTAGGTAGGTGATACCATCTAACCACAGGGGGGGGATCTTTGTTAGAAGAATAGGTCTTTTCATCTCTCGAAGAATGTAGGATATAGTTTGAGACTGCTACTCACAGTTCTTATGATAGCATGCACTATCCTCTAGACAAATATCGCCGGCGACACAGCAGTGCCAGTCCAAGCCGACGTCGACATTGCCGCAAGGGATATAGTCCTTCTTAGCTTCTGTGTCGACGGCATAATAGCAGGTGCCATTGGATATGTCTAAGGGATCGTCTGTCTCCATGGTGCCGTAATTGTGGGTGTTGAAGTTGACGGCACAACGTGTGAAAAACAAGAAACAAGGGATGAATGTTTGAAAATTGGATAAAAAAAAGCGGATTTGAAAGACGTGGTGGGAAAATGCAAAAAATTATCAGTGCCTTTTTTTTTCTTCTGTAATGTGACACTCTAGTGCTCTTTTGGATTGTTTGGCCTATTTAAGAGGAAGAGGAAGAGGAAAAGGGAGGGTTCGAGTAGGGTACTTGCAGAAGACAGCCGTCAAGTTTGTTTGTCAATCATGTCAACCATGTCAACCATGTCAACCACACATGAGCAACGCTAGATCCAATCATATCCACCGGTTGCGTTGCTGTATGGTGTCGTCGTGACAGTCAAATTTTATGGGTCGGTGAAGAAAAGATAACTACCTATATTAGTTTTGTCTTCCAGTTTGAAGTTTGAAATACTGAAATGTACGACAGCTTCGTTTCACTTATAACACCTCGTCGGTTTTATTCTGTTAAGTCTGCGGGCTAGATTATTCCCTCCTCTACTAATATTTCTATGAATTTTGATTATTTCATTATTATTACATCTTTTATTCTTTATCTCTATTTCCCTCATAAACCTAGGTACCTAGACACACACACACACACGATCTGATTCCATATCTCCCTCCCCATTCTCCCACCCGGTCTCTCCCTAAGATATTTCCGACGCCCCATATCCAAGCCCGCTCTAGACTCCCGTATATAATTGCACCGCGCCCAACGTGTAACGCCATAGGCTAACATAAAACCAGCCTAGAATTAGAAACCCCTAAACATGCTCGGTGGCGTCAGGTCATGCGACCACGTACTACCGGCCTCGGTGTCGAAGCAGGCCTTCCCCAGGAACATCGCGCGCGACACCCCATGGGGAGTATATTTTCTGATTGCGGTATGGAGCGCCGATGGACCGGCCCCGTCTAGTCCAGTTTTAGCGACCGAGACGCCGTCGTCCAAGTGGTATATTTAATACGTAAATCTCGGAGGGCATCCCGGAGGTCTTTATCCTCGGTGTTTTATGGGGTCTATAGAACATGTTAATTAGGGCTCTCTTGATATCACTGTCAGAATCGGCATGAAGAGTAGAATGCATAAATGTTATTTATAACCTAGTCATGATTCTGCAGCTGGCTGGCACTCAGGCAACGAGATACATCTACCCAAGTACCTACCCACGAAGCAAATGTTATATATCTAAATTGCAGACCAACTGTCAACCGACGCCCCTCGCTTGGGCGACTTGAGGTCAGAGAAAACCCCACCGTGGTGTCTTATGCTGAACCGTTCTTCCCAAAGAACGTGACTTGACAGCAGATGCCTAACGAAGCCGGTTTTTCGTAGGTCTCGGGTTCGAATCCTCTGCCCCTATCCGAGGGGATTCGAATCTGGGACTGAGCTTTTTTTTATTCTTTTTTATTTTATTTGTTACAGATGGATAAAAAAAGATAGGCAGAGTTAGATAGATCGATGATGCTTTTATTTATTTATTTGTTTATACATTATACATAAATATTAGACTTAGTACGTATTAATTACCATGTGGATAATATGTTTTTACTCCCCCGTCCCCCTTTTCCTTTTACCAAACATTTTATGCTTTCCCAACTTCAACAGTAAACGCCTCCTTAAGCACCTTATCTACATCCACCGTAACCACGTCTTTCGCAGCGCGCTTCCTGCACCCGCTATTCCCAGAACCTCCATTCCCGATGCCCAAGAACGTGACCTTGCTTATCCTCAGCTCGTCCGGCTTGTACCCAAACGTGCCGTTGACAGCCAGCACGCCGTCTGCGTACTCGAACGAGATATCGCTCGTGGCAGGCTGCTCGATGCTCGCGCCGTCGTCGAGGTACAAGCGACCGCTTGCCTTGCCGTCCTTGCCCACAGGGACGATGATCTCGAAGGGCTTGGTGCGCACTTCGGTGGTCGTCATGGCGGACTCGGCGCGCAAGGGAATAATTACACCGCCGCGCAGGAATAGCGGTAGATCCGACCACTCCTGGTCCGCGACGGTAATAGCCTTGCCCTCGCCCACGATGCGCTCGTGCGTGAGGAAGTCGTAAAAGATGTCGTCGGGGAGGTACACGTCAACGCTCGTGCTGTTCTCCTCGGTCACGGGGGCGACAAGCAGGCCCGGGCCGAGGAAGTACTGGAGGTCGAGGGGGTATGTGTTCTTGTCGTGCGGGTAGAGGAAGAATAGCGGGTTGACCATGGGTGTGCCGTCGAGGGTCTGGACATGCATCGCCGTGTACATGTAGTCGAGCAGGCGATAGCGGATATCGATGAACTTGCGCGCAGACTGCGTTACGGTCTCCCAGCGGTATAGTTCCTGCGAGATGGCTTCGAGGCCGTTGTGTACACGGAAGAATGGTGCAAACGCACCAAGAGCGGCCCAGCGCGAACAGAGCTGCTCCGTGGTGTTGCCGTCAAATCCGCATGTATCGGCACCTACCATTGGGATCTGATACACGGAAGCGAAGGCCATCATGCTCCTGATAGCAAGGCGGTAATGGTGCCATGTTGATGCGTTGTCTCCCAGCCAGTGCCCGACTTTAGTGCCGGCTCCGGCAAAAGTCGAGCGGGTGATGATCATGGGCCTCACGGTAGGACGTCTTTGGAGCATAGCTTCCTGAGATGCAATAGACATCATGGTGCCGTACAAATTATGCGTGTCGTACATGGTTAGGCCATTGTGGTGAACCAGATCTGTGTTGACCGTCTTGTTCGAGATACCGCCCTCAGCTGCGTTCGCGCTATCGGTGTTCGCGGCCTTGTTGTGGATCGCGTACTTTGGGAAGAGAAGATCACGGTCTGGTAGTCCAAGTTGCTGACCCTCTGTCTGGATCGGCGAGAGGAAGACGCTGTCAAAGTGTGCCGGGGGTGTACCATCACGGATTTCTAGGGACGTCACTTCGGTCTTCTTACAGTCAGACCCTTCGGGCTGGAAGTCGCAAGAAAATCCAGGCAGAGGTCGAGGAGGGGTTCGGACAGGAGGTGGGTCTGGCGGGTATCCCTCAGCGGAAGCTTCGGGGTTATCGCAAGGGAAGAAGCACGGGAAGTTAGAGGGTTCGTTCATATCAATCCAGAGGGCATCGATATCTATCCCGTTCTCAGGAGAGAAGAAAAGAGAAAACTCATTATTCCAATACTTGGAGATGTTAGGAGAGAACCAGTCAGGGAAGGCCGTAACTCCGGGCCAGACAACGCCTTTCCACACGGTTCCGTTTTCACGAAGCATGAAGATGTTGTCATCAACGCCGCGTTGGAAAGCAGTAGGGAAGTCCTGGTAGGCCACGGCGGGATCCACCATAACGACATAATGCTGGTCGTGTGCGTGCAGGTAGTCAACTAATTCGCGCGTCTTGTGCAGAGGATATCTTTCCGGGTCCAAGGAGAATACCTAATGGTTGTTAGTTTGAGGGGTAATATTCATAGACAGCAGTGTGAGCTCACTCTTCGACGGTACATGTAGTCGATATCATTCCACATAGTCTCGAGCGGGATGCCAGCTTGACTGTAATTGTAGACTACCTCGGCCGATTCGAAAATGTCCTGGTATCCGTACCGGCAGTTCTGGAACCCCAATCCCCAGTACGGCTGCATCACGGGCAGGCCCACGATTTCGCCATACTGCTGCGCAACTTGGACCGGGCTCGGGCCTGAGACGAAGTAGAAGTCTAGTACTCCGCCGAGGGTGTTGTATTCGAGATACTGCCCGGATTCAGCCGTGTTGTTGATCAAGATATCCATACCGTTGGAGTTCAAGAAGAACACGCCATGAGTACCCGATTCTCGATGTTCGTAATACACGGGATGGTTTCCGTATAGATTCGCACCTTCGGGGACGCCGAATGAATCCTGCGACCAAAGCGTGCGGATGTAGTCGGTCGTGTTCAGCATAAAAGGGTCTGAATGCTCGCCAAGGCCATACAGACTCGGGTTTTCGGGTAACTTCGTCCTTAGACGCAGGTACTGCGACTCGAACACTATGTTGGCAGCCGACGTGTCGAAGAGGACCTCTCCCGAGTCCGAGCGAGATACGGAGAAGGAGAATGGGCTTTCTGTATAGTCGAACTTCAATGCCGACTGCGCTTCTTCGGAACCCTTGGCTTCTGGCCGAGGGAAAACGGACTCGGGAATTTGATAGACATTGTTAGCGGCATCTTGGATCTTGACGTGGAGCCTCGTGTCTACGCGACATTAGTGAGATGCTCAGATATTAGCGTCTGCAACAGCTCGCCATACCGGTGTCATATGAGACCTCGAGAGTCAAGTCTTTCAGATCCGTCCCGTACACATTGCAAGCCTCGCCGGCTAGCTTTAAATCCGCCGTCAATCCTGACGCCGTGCTAACAACATTCGAAGCGGTATAGCCCGGGCAGGAAGCGAGAGGGTCGTCGGACGGATAGTCTCGTCGTGCGAGAGCAGCAGCCGAGACCGCCGTCGCCACCGTAATAAGCGACAGAAGACTTGCCATGCTGGTCAGATGTGCCAGGTACTGGGAGGTTGTCTCAAAACGCCAATCTCCACGTGGAAATTATGTGACCCGATGCAGAGGAACATCTTTTCCGTGGGCCGTGGTGTTACCCTAGAACTTATATACGTTCATATTTACAATACCTAACCTAGGCATTTAACCTGATCTAGTCTACTACGTAAGAGTCGTCCCATGGTAATAACGTAGCATCGTGATCAACTACCTACCTAGGCTCCGCTCCCCGCATATACCCCAACATTCCCACTGCTACTCCGCTCCACCATGTTCCATGCCATCATGCCTAGCCAAAGAGGGCGGAGTGAAATCAAGTCGGAGGCTCTTATTTTCTTCGATGGCGGCGCTTTCACGGAGCTTCCCCGGACCTTTTGCTAAGGACAAGAGACTTGGTCAACGCGACTGAGCGCGGTCAAGCGCTATTCTCCGCAGCTTCTCATCTCCGCACCGAGCTATTAAGAGCTCCCCCGCAGGAGCTCCATCCTAGTTTGCTTTGGCAACCAATGAGAGCGCGAGCCAGAACCCGGTCAGTTCTATAGAGGCCCCCTTTTTATAAGCTTGTTTGTTCTGTCTAAGTTGACCATGTGGGGAACAACACCAAGTCAGGTTTGTCTCCGCAAGACTATGGACGGCAAAAGGACCTAGTCAACATGTGGTTTCGCCGAGTAAACCGAGGCTATACAAAACATATATACATATATGGTTCGATGCCGGAAAGGTAAAAAGGTGTAATATTAAAAAGTCAGTCGCCAAGAGGACTAGTTGTCTTGGTAAAAATGTCTCCATATCACTTATACTTGTAGAAGCAGCATGTATAATCTACCCTTACAACGATATTAACATGAAAAAACTACTCAGTCATCACCACTCGTCACGGCCATAATGACACAGCAACCATTCTATAAAAAAATTCCTAAAACCGAATTATGACGCTGAAGCTACTCTACAAGAACGGCCAAAGACGAATTTGCATCATGTTAAATATAAACACCCGACTCCCAAGTCGATCCGGAGCCGCAATACCATCACCAGATGCGTGCTAAACTGGGCAACGCTCAAACTGGTCCAGATAAAAAAAGATATACCGAACCAAATTATGCAGGCCTCCCTCCCCTTCCTAATGTCTATCTCAAACAACCGACCCGGTGGACATTCGCAAGAGCATGCTCGAAAGTGGTATATAGTCGTACAGTCGTCCCTGTAGTCTGCGCTGAACAAAATAGAAACGTCAGGTGATCGTGCCACATCTAGTTGGGATACACCCGGTAAAATGAGCAAAGGAAATTCGTAAGCCTGCCCCGTTAGACCTCGCGAGGCACGTTATTTTCATCCGATCCCTACGCCCTCAAGAACAACAAGAAAAAAACATTTTCCCCCGAATGCTTCGCTTTGGGTAGCATTCTGTATAATATATATAGCTCAGCGTTATTCGTCCACATCCATTTTGTCCACCATCGTACTCGCTGCTATTATGGTGCGGTCTTCTTGGTCCCTGTCCTGTTCCTGGTCACGATCTCTGTCTCTGTCTCTGTCTTTGTCTCTGTCTTTGTCTCGTTTGTTTCCGTCGGATTGATATTCGAGGTTGTTGCCGGCAGATTCCCGTTCGGGGTTATTGTTAGATCCACTACACAGCCGATATTCGCCGTCATCTCGACGTTCAATAATACCTTCTTCCAAGGCCCATTTTGCTAAAAGGCGGTCAACGCTGAGCCGCCCCGCTTCGCCCTTCTCCATATGCCTACCGACGTGCTCAGTCCATTCGTCCCAAGAAGTAGGCCCTTCGAAAACACTCGCACAGTCCGACTTGGGGCAAGAGGATCTCTGTGGAGGTTGTCTCCGAGTCACGAGACATGTTTGCTGCATATCCTTCACGTGCGTTTCCCAATCCAGTTGTAATTTACTATCACCCTTCGCGAGGGCCTTTTTGATTGCGAAAGGGGCGTGCATGCGACGAAGATGTTGTGTAAAGAGATCCTTGCGGTTGAATTCATTCCCCTTGCCTTCAACCGTGCTCTGTGGGCAAGATGAGCATCGATAATATTGGAGACACAAATGTTGCGAAGCAATATGTCTTTTCCATTCATTCTTAGACCCAAAAGTGCTAGTGCAACCAGCGAAGGCAAAGGCACAAGGGAACGGTCGAGTATGAGCCGCAGCAATATGCTTACGTAGCGATGAATAATCTTTAAAGGGGGCATGACTGCAGTGATTACAGCGTGTCTCCTGCTTTGGCGCTTGCTTTTGAAGCGATCGCCGCTGCTGTTTAGGTCGTGCGGATGGTGGTGTGAATTCGGGATTGTACAGAGTCTCATCTGCCCCAGATTCATTTGCCTCGTGGGGCGAGACTTCATCACGACGAGTGGTCGTCGTATTTTCCGTAGGAGTAGCTTGTACGTGAGCTGCAGATATATTATCGCGGCTTAAGGGCCGAACATGGCTTAAAGCCTTCAACTGTTCAGCAGCTTCCTGCATCTCAGCAGAATCTTCGACATCATTCTTGGCTATGGCGGTACCCGGCCTTGAGCTAGCATACGCCATACCAGGGGTACCAGATGGTTGCGGTAGGGTCATGGGATCAAGCCTGCTCATGCTCTCCAAACGAATAGGTGTCTCCGGTCGTAGCTGAGAATGGCTAGGAAGTTCATGCCGGCGGACGACCGGCGTACTTGCAGCCACTTCTCGAGCTTCAAGGAGCATCCGGCCGTCTTCTACGTCCTTCGCCGATGCCTTGTTAACGGAAACGGAACCAACTAATCGATTGTAAAGATGTGTCATATTATGAGAATTCACATATCCTAAGAAGCAGCAGACTTTGTCGTGCTGGACAACATTCCAGACTGGAACCGGCATTGAAATGAGTAACATCGTAGGCGGCCCTAGAAACATGCCCTCGACAGCAATTTTCGAGGCAATAGCAGGGGCGTTGTGAAGCCAGTGGTTGAATGAAGACATGTCCGGGCTGGCTTCGCCGACAAAAGTCGTACAAACTAATACTCTGGGCTCATCGAACGTTAGGTCCGCAACCGCGTTTGGGTGGATAATTGGATCTTCCCGGGACGTCCTCAATAATTGGGCATCCCCGTCAATTCCAGCTTGCGGGGATCGTAATTGCATTTCGGCGTGAGATGGGAGGGGAGATATAGAGATAACTTGACCTTTGATAGAACTTAGAGCATATAGAACCGGTAACTTTTCAGTGAGCGCTATGCTTTTGCTAGCCCCGTTAGTTAACCCAGACGCCTGTATTAGTTCTTGCTGTCTCTGAATAGCCACTTCGTGATATAGACGTTCGGAATTAAAAGGTCGCCCGCCGCTAAATTTAGCCAATGCTTCTGTAACATAGGATGTGAATGACCGTAAGCCGTGATCTCGAGAATAATGCTCGGGTGAATTAGCCGCAATGATCTGTTTGACACTGCTACCCTCTGGAATTGGCTCTTCTTTGGCAGCACAAGTATCAAGAAGCAGAAGCATATCAGACTGAACATCTTCGAAGAGACAACGAACTCCACTCCACCTTAGTTTCGAATCCCCCTCCGGATTACTGATCATATGTTAGAGCGCCTTCCATGCTACCGTTTGGTGACCTACCTTGCCCAGTAGAGTTGATTATCCGTATCAACATAGCCATATCCAGCGTAGTATATTATTAATAGATGATCGGGTGCCGCATGTTCAAGAAACGATGCCATACGAACGCCGAGTTTAACGCTAGCATTTAAACCTGTAGGTATGTTGAAACGCTCGGTGCGGTAATTATACCGATCGCAGAGGACTTGATCGAGGGCGGCAAGGTCGTGTTCGACGGCATTGTCTTCTTCCCATCGCAGAATCAGGACATAGGTCTTTGTATATGGTGATTTTTGGGTTTGACGATATATAAGCATGGCGGCATCTTGCAGATGCCTCGCGAATGACTCGAACTCGTGTCTTTCTGGGGGCGGTGGGGGCGCTTCTTGGACCTGGTAAAGCTGTGCGGGCGGCGCCTATTGATGTGAGTCCACGAGTCGATGGGCACATCAATTGAATTATACCTACAGGCTCGTGGGGGAATGGAGGCGGATGCGGAGGACTAGCTTGAGCCTCGATCTTAGGAGCTAGCCTTCTCTTCTTTGCCGCCGGCTGATCCATCGGATGTCAATTGAACGAGTAACACGACGACGGAGGCTCTCGGCAGCAATTGTAAATATAGAAAAAAGTGTAACACCTCAAATATTGGAAATCATCCGCACTATGATAGAAACGGCGATGGCACTAAAGAAAGACCATGAAGGGCGAGATGGGGAGAGATTGGGAATGATCAGGCTACGGGCGAGGCTGATTCGGGGGATGTGGTGCGTCGCTTGGCCTCGATGTTTAGTCCATGTTTCTAGAGTCCCCTGCTATGCCAAGTCTTCGATACATACATATTTTTCTTGAACCGAACCCCCGCAATTGTTACCTACCAAAGCGGCAAAGATCCACTAAAGAATTTATCTGTAATGCTACCTGTACCATGTAGAGTGGAGTTTCAAGCCTCGCTATAATGTAAGCACGTATACTAGTAAACGCTAGTATCGTTAATACATCTAAAGATATTATTCATCTTTAAAGACCCGGAGATGCAGGGCACTAGCTCCAACGACCTAGATAGGTAGGTACCTAGATAAACAATTCGGCTCTAAGGCCTTCTATTGGCTGGCACAATTGTTGTTGAGATGTACAATACTCTTCGACGCTTACGCGTTGCTCCAGAATGATTCAAGGTGAAGAAATTAAAATAATAGAGTCGGGCAATGAGTGGTAGTTATGTCAATAATTATTGGAATCAAGTAGAAGAATTGAGCTTGCCTTTTCCTGTTATATACATAGGTAAGCAACCTAAGAGGTATGTAACTATGTCTTATAGCCTGAGATTCTACTTGGCTCCAATATAAATGCACATAGCTAGTCGTAAATAGTCACAAATAGTCGCAAATATGAACCATGTGACTTAATCAATGTCTTGTACTCATTTTGGGGTATATAACCTCGAGTTCTTCATCAGCCCGTGGATTTTGAGCTTATAAGGAATAAAACCTATGTCCTGATATTTCCTATCAAACACGCCCCTCTCAACATTTCACGAAAACATGCTTTTCATTACGATGTCCTGCGACACCCTACGTTCCTGTCCACCCCCCTCTAACCGTGTAACTAGTGTTCCGTTACAACTCTTCTTCAACTCTAAATCTTGGCCGAGGTTGAATGTTCAATGCCGATCTTTTCTTCGGAGCTGACAAGGTTGCGTTCGATGCGGAGAATGGAACGATCGTTGTGGGTCTTCCAAGCCGGGACACCAATATATTTGAAAGAGCCGGGGCCGTCGTCCTCAAAGGTAGCGGCGACCTCCTCAAGAGTCTTATTGGAGGTCTCGGGGAACAGGAAGAATGTGTGGAAGAACATGACGAAACAGAATACGGCGAACAAAACATACGTCTTCCATGTGATGTTAGCGAACGAGGGGGGAACGAAGTACGCGAGCGCAAAGTTGAAGGCCCAGTTAGCAGACGTAGCAAGAGCAACAGCCTTTCCACGCACGCGAAGCGGGTAAAGCTCAGCTGGGTAGGTCCAAGAGCAAGGACCCCATGTCGGCGCGTAGGATGCGACGAATAGGTAGGTACTTGCGATCACAGCCGTGGCGGGTCTTCCACTAATGACCATGGAGATGGCAGCGGTATCGAACTGGTGAGGGGCAGGCGCGTGCGAATATACGGCAAACAAACCAGCATTGATGGAGAGCCAGAGGCACATGAAGAACGCACCGATAAGCATGGTCGGACGACGACCCCACCTATCAAGCCAGATAAGAGCCGGAACGGTCATGACGACGTTGATAATGAACTGAATACCGCTAGGCAGTAGTACATCATCACCCGAGCCCGTCATCGTGAAGATGTAGGAAATGTAGTACATCATGACGTTCATGCCGGTAAGCTGCGACCAGATCTGAGTGAAGATACCAATGTGAGTTCGGTTAATCATCTTAGGACGGAACAGCTCTAGGTAAGACACGTCTGCATTCTGACGCTCGAAGTCAACCGCTTCCTTGATTTCTGCCATCTCCTTAGCGACTAGTTGAGAGTCAGGGTTTCCTTGGCCGTGGACCAGAACGAGCACTTCTTTGGCCTCCTCCCAACGATCGTGCTTCGCTAACCAACGAGGCGATTCGGGGAGAACCGTCAAGCCGAAGAAGAGTAGAAGGGCCGGAATCATTTGCAGACCCCACGGGAGACGGAATGCGGCGGCTCCGTTGATGAAGCTGGAGCCGTAGCATAAGAAGAACATGATCGCAATACCCCAGGTGATGGCCCATTGTTGCATTCCAATGAATCGACCTCGTTTAGACGGCGGTGACAACTCGGAGATGTAAACCGGAACCTGAGCCGAACAGATACCCACGCTGATACCGTTAATGATACGACCGACGATTAGCATCGGGATGTTTTGGGCAGCGCAGATAATGATAGAACCGATTATCCTGAGAGATTCACTGTTAGAAGAAATCTATTTGCACGTGGACTACATCGCAGAGAACATACCAAATAATGGCACCGATCTGAATAGACGTCTTTCGACCGAAGATATCCGTAAGGACACCGGAGATGAGAGCGCCAAGCCAAGAACCTCCGGGCATGGCGGCGGTGATGCCACCTTGTACGAGAGCATCTGGACCCTGGCACTCATTCGTTCCAGGTTTGTTGCCCTGCGATTGTTAGCTTAACGGTATAGCAGGCAAGATTCCTAGCTCGGGTAGACTAACTTGCTGGTTAAACTGGCACTTGTAGGGGGCAGTTGAGATAATAGCACTCATAGACGAGATATCGAAACCGAATAGCGCGCCACCTAACCAGGTTATTAGTATCCCACAATGGCAAAGCCTCAAGTAACGAGAGGCGGCGGCATATAGGTGAAGAGCTTACCTATGACGGACGTGGCCGCGATAAGATAAATATTGCCAAACTTCTTCATGGTTGTCTAAGACCCCGCGTGGTCTATTAGCAGCACATATAGCTTTGCTGAGTTGTTTAAGTGCAGAAGTGTGCAAGAAGAACAATGCTAAAAATGTAAGACTGAAAGATGAGAGAGGGACGATCCATTATTATATGCAGAAGGAGCGCCCACGGTTGTTGTTGGGGCGGCCAGGATTAGAGTGGTGTAAATTTTTTTTAAGGTTGGTACATGCATACAAACAGATACATAAGGTTTACAAACAGGTGGTAGCAAGGTAGCTACGACCCCAGGACCCCCAGGACCCCCAGTTGCTTTGATCTGGCAACAAAGGCACATTTGGTCACTGGACCTACTCTATTGCCCTGTCTGGCAGTGTCTACCTGTTGTGGCGCCCCGGCCGGGGGACGTTACAGATGGATAGGCGGGTTTCTACGTAGCATGCGGATCCCCAGATTCATTGATCCCACGGATTGGCATAGGCCCTGGTCAAGCTAAGCTACGAGATCATCACGGGACTGATGAATCAAGTCATACCAGAAAAAGCATGGAGCGAGCAAGCAAGCAATTCTACCCTTGTTCGGATCTCTTTAGATTTTTCCTACAACTACAACAATGCCCGAGCTCGTAATATGCGTTCCCGACTGGGAGGCCAGAAATGGAGGAGGTAACAGTGGTCTTCCCAGGGCAATGGGATTGCCCACAAAATTCTGGAGGTCACACGCGTGCTAGCTCTCCCCGTTGTGCCATATGCGGGTAACAAACTAATCCACGGGTAGAGAGACTTTCCTATGGCGGCGCTTATTGGTTGCTGGAATGTTCAGTCGGGGAAGAGGGTTGCATGGATGGACAGCTGTATTAGGCTTTAGCACTTTAAAGCACTTTAACATTGAACCAACAGCATCCCAGAATTCTGGATAATCATTTCTATACGCAAATAATCACCGCCTGTATGGTCAGCAAACCCAGATAGAATGCAGGCTCTGTACATAGTATGCAGAAGTCGAGCGTAAGGGAGGGCTTAATTCCATCTTTTTAGGACGCAACCAAATCTAGAATTCCGGGGTAAAGTTTAAGAATCTAAAATTGGCCCGCCTGGTTGTCTCGAATATATCAATGGCATTCATCTTGCTGTCGAATTCTTGTCTCAGTCATTTTCTCGACAACGATGAAGACGGCAAGATGCAAGATTGGAAAATACGTGTCTTAGGTAATAGACAGTACCCGATATTAGTATGTACAATTATGATACATGACCTCATTATGGAATGATGTCAATGTCCTATGAAGAGAAGTTGGTGGTGACGCTCCTTCCCTCCTAATCCATTTATGCGTCTCCACTACGGGCCGAATAGAATTTGGGGAGAGCTAGGGACCCCGGCGATTCTCCAAACCCCCTGGGGAAAGGCTCGGGGTAATCCATTCGAACTTCTCAATCCCTCTTTTCCAAGTTTCAATCCGTCGTCCCGATGAGTCTAAAGATTAATTATCAGTTTTCACGTTCGTGACATACTAGCCCAGCCCGGCTTCTCTTCCTTTTCATAAGCCTCGGGTCTTCCGTACACCGATACGGTTTTATTGCGCGTATGCATATGTTTATTTGTTCTTTTATACGAATGTGACTCAGCGGACTCTGAGTGACCAATTTAATTATCTGACCGTAATACAGCTAAGCAGTTCGTGATAATAATACTTAGCTACACGACGTATCGGCGGTCTGTCAATAAAATATTAGCCTACGGATCCCGGCAGCTAATCCCTTACCTAGCATAAGCTAAGAAATCTTGTTTACTTGGGTACTCGATTGACATTTTAGCTAACATTGAATTGGGTATAATGCATGCAATATGTTCGGAGCCGAGAGCCGTGGCCGTAGCCGGAAAGGACCTCAGTAAAGGCACGCGAACCGGCCTTAACTAACCCGGCCGTAAACAAGGACGTTTGCAGCTTTCTAGACTAATTAACTAGAGATTACCATTCTTTGACATAATATCTCTGTCAAGTCCGTATGTAACCGCTTTCATAGTCAGCTGAAAGAAAGTATCGCCACCAACCTTTTCATAGCTCAGCCGTACTCGCAGAGATATGGCCGAGGCCAAACTTAAACCCACTGTCCACGTGGAAAGTGAAGGGAAGGAATATGGATTCATTCTTCGACAACGCGGAGTGCTACGCGACGTCGCACAACCTGAATCCTCCCGGTTTTGCTCACGCCAGAATCAGAGCACGACCTTCCCGCTCAAAGCTAGCGCGCATCCTTCAGCTTTAATGAGCGGTCAGGTACCATCGTACAACCACAAGCAGCCCTACGTTTCGGCATCAATATTAGGCCAGGAAAAAGAATTGCCTTACCTCTTTAGTTACCCTAGGTCAGGTATAGGAAGTTACTTTCTACAGTACTTTGCTGATGCGAGAGAAATGCATACAGGGACAAAAAAAAAAAAAAAAGAGAGAATAGGAATTGAGTCATGTGTACGTTTGATTCAAGATCAAAGATTTAGAAATATCAGACGACTTTGTCGAAAGCTACCCAGTCATTCTTTCTAGAAAATAGTTATTGAATCCTTCCGGACTTTTGGTCCTTCGTCTTGTTAAATCGGTGCTCGCCGAACATCAAAGTCCTATCCACTAATGACATATCGCCTGCTCCTAGAAGTCACACTCACACCAATAAGTTCGAAAACGGGTGATATAATGCGCATTGCCGTCTGTGTAGCGCTAGCGGTATTTGTTGGTTTCTAGTTGCGACAAACCATGCCGTGTCACTATTGAAATGTTACTAATTTCGTATTTCCCGAGACTACGGAAAGCCGTTATACCAATTTTAGCGGTTTATAAATTGCCCAAGTCAAGCTAAACATGTCGATAGCTCATATTTACAATCTCGAGTATGTTACGAGGATGTCGAGTATGCGTTTATTGTTAACGTGAATCCTTTCATCTCATGTTCAACATAAGATTAATCCTACCTACGGCATACATACCTCGCGAGCAAAGCAGAAGTTTAACTTTGAGGAACAGACATCAACTAAAATGTGATCACGGGATGTCTATGCTTAGGTAGATGCCGAAAATAGATTCCATCCCTTTCCCCAAACCTCTAGGTTCACCGTATTAGCGATGGACGGTCAAATAGCATTGAGCAAACGGCCTTCGCAAACCTAACGCCACTTGAGAACACATTGAGCATAGGTATGTAAGGAGAAATGATCGAAAGCCAGGATCGGCTTCTAGATATCTAGGACACAAACATACTAGGATCGATAATAGGACGTGGCAAAGTTCTAACCTAGGTAGTCTTTTATACCAGTCTTCTTTATGGGACGTGCCTTTCGGATGGGGTATATAGTAGATCCATTCCCCCGAATGATCACTAGCGACTAGCGAAAATATCAGCGATCTACTTTTGATGGAGGTCATAATCTTCATCTCGGCCACGGCGCGGATAATCAAATTATCCTGCATGGAAGTCTTCTGGAAGGCATCTTAGGATTTCTTGTCAGTAGAGCTCTTGAATCCCCAAAACTAATGAATAAATGCAACCTAGAGTCATGGTGGCAATGATATTCCCTCAGTTCGCTCACTCCTGCCAATGAAAATACGCTATTATGACTGAGCCACAATGCTCGAATCTTGGGTATTTCGTCAACGGGTATCCGTGCGATTCATGTAGGCTAATACATATGTACATAAGAGATGCTAACCAATGAACTCGTTGATTTAGTGTCTAAATAAGAGGGAGCCAAAAACTAAACAGCTATGTAGATTAAAGGATTGGACGTCATACATCCTTTGCCGCTATCCATGCATAGATCTATCTAGATGGAAACTTCCAAATATCCAAGATACATATTCATGGTGACGAGCATCCTCGTTTACTGACGGGTAAATATTTTTCTTATAGCTTCTCTCAATCGCAACTGACTTACAATCACAGCTGACGGCAAGATACGGCAATGGAATGCAAAGAATTTTGCAACTGCACGTGGCTTATAGCCTCGATTTGAACTCAGCCCTCTAGTTAGTGTCGGATAGCAAGTCGTACGGACCTACATGTACCTAATCGTAAATTCAGGTACAAGCTATGCGGTATCTTCCGTATCTTCCGAGGATCTTTGGTACATTAGGTACATGTAGTGGGTACATCTGATCACTTCCGAGCAATATCTGGATATTACGGGCTTGGCTGTGCTAAACGATGTACATGTGACGTCTTTTGTAAGGTATGCACCTAATCCTTACAGTGACTTCCATGAATTGAATGCTCAGCCACACGGGACGAAGATACTGTTTTGCGCCTTTGATAGAACTTTGAATCTTAGCCATTAATAACAATTCACTCTTCAACGACATTGTCAACATCGTAAGCGCTTGTTCAGCTTTCTTATTCTAATAAAATTTGACTAAGCGTGAACTAAGAAGAAAATTTCGGTATTTTTATACTATCGCACTTCCGGTTACTTCTACGCGACAATTAATACGTACTTTTGCGACAAGATTGTGGCGTTCCCAGTCACATTCAGTTCATTTACCTTGTAGACTGACGTCGTCACCGGACGAGGGTAGCGAACTTAGCGGGGCGGCGGTCTCAACATATTTTTCTGTCAAATTTACAATCTCGCTACATTTACACATACACATCTACCGTCAACATATCTAAAGACCGAGTTATTTATCCCATCGCGACAAAGATGGAGTCGGAGGGACAGCTTAAGAGGAAAGACACCACCAAAGGTCCTCCGTTGAGGATACTTAGCTTGGGTAAGTTGTTTACCCCACCACCTTGATACTATATATCGGGTATACATGAAGACTAACTCGGGCGCTTTGCGCGGTCGCAGATGGCGGGGGAGTTCGTGGCTACTCCATGTTTATTATCATACAAGAAATAATGCTTCGAACCTACGTTGAAATCGAAGGGAAAGCACCAAAACGCGATCAAATCCCGAAGCCATGCGATCATTTCGATTTAATAGTTGGAACCGGTACCGGCGGTCTAATCGCCTTGATGTTAGGGCGACTCCGATTAAATCTGGAGCAGTGCAAAGAACTGTACGTCCGGATGACTAGGATGGTTTTCGAGAGCGATAAGACTTTTGCTGGTATACCGTATCGCTCGACATTGTTTAAGGCATCTATGCTTGAGCGCGCCATTAAGGAAGCCGTAAGAGAACACACTTGGTCTGATGATGAGGGAAACGACATCGGAGCAGATATCGTTAGTCCGATATCTGCCGTGTCACGGACAAGCGCTGCTTCGAGTGGTTTCCCGCGACGGCACCAAAGCAACGCGAGCGTCGTCAGTTTCAGTGGACGTAGCCCAGCGAGCCAGGCTAAGTCAACATTCCGCGGCGGGCAGGGTAACCCTGATGCACAGCTATATGATACGAGAGAAAATAGGACAAAAACGTAGGTGCCATTTCTTTTAGTTTTACGGTATAATGGCTAATATTTTCGTAGTGCTGTAACGGCCATGTATAAAGGAACAGGTAGGGGCGGTGCTCCTGCAGTGCTCCGCTCATATGACTCGAGAAAGGAGCCTGCCCCAGAATACGACTGCAAAATCTGGGAGGCTGGTCGGGCAACATGCGCGATTGGGTTGGCGTTCAAGCCTGTTAAAATTGGGCAAACGGTATTTCACGACGACGGTTCTGGGACTTTTAACCCATCTCCTGTTGCCCTCGATGAGGCTACGGTTAACGAATGGCCGGGTCGTGATGTGGGCGTCTTCATCAGCATAGGAACCGGGAAACGGCCAAAGGGTACCGAGCAAAATTCGCACCTATGGTACGAAGGCTTTATGGGCGAATGGGGAGAAGCTAGAAGGAAGTTGATTTCCAAGGTGGAAGGCTGCGAAAAGATTCACGAGCGCATGAAGAATGAATTATTGATGAAAAGGGGCGTTAATATTGAGAACTACTACCGATTCAATGTTGAAGTCGGCGTTGGAGAGTTCGCTATGAATGAGTGGGATCGATTGGGCGATATCAGCACAGGCACGAAGAGGTATCTGTCTAGAGATGTCGAGCAGAAAATGGTGCAGGAGTCCTCGACAAAATTGGCAAAGATCCACAAAGCAAAGCAGAGGTATGAGAGGCTCGGTCGCATACCTAACATCGTGTCTCAGCCGACCATGGGATCAATAAGTGCACCATTAGCGGTTGAGCTTCCGGGAGATTTCCCTACATCATTCCCGGTCCGAAGCAGTCCGTCGGATCGGCAATCATACGAATCGGGCATAGACAACCTTGACCACCTTTCACTCAGTCCTGGCAACCCGCCATCGCCTCGCAGTTCCGATGATCGCCTCCGACCTGCAACCAGCCATTCATCTCCACCTCAAATAGCTATCCGCCCGCAGAAGATGCCGTCCCCTCCTGCCTCATTATCAGCGATCAGACCTCCTCCGGACGACGAGCCGGACCGTCTCGTGGTGACAGCCCCCACGCCAGCACAATACCGGAATGCTGCTGGCAACGATAAAATAGCAATCATGGGAGCTGACGAGTACCCACGAAGACAAAGGGATCATATTGTACAGCCTATGATAAAACCATTTCAGCCGCACCGCATCGAGCCACCTCCTCTACCTCCCAAGACTCCGCTGCCCGAAAAGCAGATTTCAGGCAACCGACGTCCTATCAGAGCTGAGAGTCCCCTACCGCCATACCCCGACGAAGACGGCCCCCCACCAGTAGTAAACATGGCTAGGAAACCGGATTATAGGGGTAGATGATCACCTAACCGATCATTATGTAAAAACTGGAGTTTAGGAGCTACGATGCGGTTTGACCAAGTATGTCTTACCCGCCCAACTAACTTTTCTTACGGCCCGGCGTCTATGGAGGTGGTCATATATAGGCAAGATGCCTTGGCTTTGACGATTGATGATACCATTCGTGCTTACGGGTTGATGTTGACGTTGATGAGTTCTGCTATATGCCTATGTATAATGACGATGATGTTGATTGGAATTCCGCGAATCAAGACTACGAATACCCCTTTTGCTGTTTTTATGAAGTATATGTTATAGATCTTTAGGTTAGCTAATGCTTTTGCAATTTACGATTGGGCTGGCAAAAATTATGATATGATGGATGTGATATAGATAGTTTGGTCTACTGTCGGGCTGTAATGTGCTTCTCTGTATGCGCCTTGCATTGCATCTCCTTCTAGGTTAATGATTTACACCGGTTCTCTTACCGTGCCGGTGTTAGACTCATCACGGCTTCGTTTCATAGATAGACAGACTCGTTGCGTGTCCTGGGGCATCTATTAATCCCTTCGTTACGCGAAGCTACCACCCAGCCTACCCCTTTTTCCTTACCTCAAAGACTACCTACCTACGTCGGCTGTGTGGTGCAATCCTTTGGTATCGCCTACAGAGGCCGACTGCTCGCTCCAAGCCATGCTACACTACTCTCTAAAGCGCCCACATCGGCGCGAGGCCCCAGTTGGCCATGGGCACTCTAAGACACGTACTTAATGTACATTGGCAGCTTCGAGGTAGTTTCCAGAAAACATCTCTTGTATGCCTATTGGAGACGCAGATATCCTCCGACGACTTTGAAACTTGAAGCGCCTACCCGCCGCGTTCAACCCGCATACTTTATTCAAGTAGGCTGGCTACCTCTCAGAACGGGTAAGTTGAAGTTGAATCGGTCCTTGCGTTGATGCTTCGTTTCGTTCCTGTGCAGAAGAATAGACTTAAAATGACGACTCGAACACGTCCCGGACGCGAATGTCTACGGCCGTGATCTACGACGGCAGGATTGACGTGCAATATTCGAGAAAGGAGAACCAGCTGATGCCAAATGTCAACCGGCTCACTCGATGGGTTGCGTTATATTCGATTAGGGTTTGGTGGCGATAGATATTTATTCTAGAACAAATCTATAGGCCAATGGTGAATACCTAGAATTACCTCGCATTTACTTACCGTATTTGCTCGTAGATCCCTGCCAAAATACTACCCAAGTTTACCGACATAACAAGAATTAATATCGTTTATATGAGAATATCTGCTGATATACATACCTACGTACGCTGGCCTTACGAAGTTAAATGTAACTAGGCATACTTAACTACACCTTTATTGTCGTATGTATTAACTTCCGAGTTAATAGAACCCACAGGTTTATAGCTTCATTTCAACGAACCTACATACATAGTGTAATGATATGTAGCTTGGTGGATTTGCCAAGTCTTCATGCAGCCTTTACATACCTAGTTTAAAAATGCAGGACATTTCACTTTCCTTGGTTCTCTCATTTATCCGTAGCGCTTTACAGTCGCAATGATTTCCTATTGGCCGAACTATAGGTCTGAATACTCTTAAGTTATGAGGCTCTGTTGCATATATGAAACATTGCTTACCAAATATATCCTTCAGCTAATCTTAGCTATTCCTGTCTGATTAGTCGTCGACCATATTCAGGCCCGTGTGGCTATGGAATGGGTACCTATCTCTTAGAGACCCTAACAGGGGTATGTTAACGTATCAAAAGGCAACGTTTAATGGCTTCTCTATTAAATATGTCTATACTTAAGATCAACCATAAAAACAAGCCACTAAAGCCATTTTCCGAACAAGATCTTAATAATATACATAGCTGGTAGCGAGGCTTAGCTTTATGGGTCAGATTTCGGACCCCTGTTTGGGTCTCTAAGAGATAGCCCTACGGACAAATATTGCTGTGCCAGATTCTAAACTCGATCAAGCCCTTCTACATAGGCAGAAAAAGACCCGCCCTAGTCGAATATAAGCGCGATCTGTCTAACTTAGGTGTCTGTCCAAGTGGAGCCAATCATCACAGACGATCCGTCTAGGTTAAAGCCGCATGAGCTGAATTCTTAGATCCGTAGTAGCTTGACGTTGACTGCAGCGTTGATTGGAGAGGCCTGCTGCGCCGCACTCCTCCTTCCTAAATGGGAGAGATTGGACCCTGTACAGATGCCCTCATTGGCAAACCCTTGGTAGTCCTACATTGGGAGTCGATGTTCTTTACTCCCCCTGTATCATCCTTATTTGGGCTGTACATCTATTACTAGATGTGTACAGGTACACCAGGTCGTACAACTATTTTCCTCCTCTTCGTTTTTGTTTGCTAGACATTATTTGTTCGCATTATGTCATAATGCTGGGACAGCCGTCGATATCTTCTTGTCCTCCCTGATAGCAGTCCCGAAGTGCCACAAGATTCGAGGCTGCCGCAAATTAACTGTAAAAGGATAAAGAAGGCGGGCCATGAACGAGCATCCAGACTACAGGGTCTCGCAACCCGGGCTCGAAATCGCCTATCCCACTGACCCGGAAGTCATACACCCACCGAGGGAGACATATCCCGCTTTCGTATCCGATCCGGGAATTATACCTTTTAAGGGCGATGCCAGTCCGTACTACAATCAACCCCAGGTCCATGGAGCGTATAGTTCGAAGGAACTAGCACCGCAGCCGCCAGTCCGGAGAGAAAATGGTGAACGGAGGAAGCTATACTTGTTAATCGGAGGTTTAGTTATTCTGACAGTGATTGTGGGTGCGGTAGTCGGCGGTGTTTTGGGAAGCAAGGCAACTTCACACAATGGATCAGCTGTGTCCTCAGATGTGCCCTCAGAACCGGCGTCTTCAAGCTCATCTTCTCCAAATCCAACATCCACACCAAGTAGCAGCACCAGCCAAAGTGTAAACACAACAGCAATACGGCCCAACACAAGGCTCTCAGTGACGGGCCGGCGCATAGAAGGCAACGGCTTCACCTCGCGGCTATTCTGGCAAGGAGGCGACAACAAAATTCGCACATCGCGGTACAGCAGCAGCAGCAGTCAATGGTCAACCCCGCTAGTCTTCAACGATCTAGATGCAAAGCCCGGAACGCCTCTTGCCGGGACAATCTACCTGCAGTTCCCACAATTTGAGTTCTTTTATTTAGATCCATCATCGACGTTCCAGGGGGTCAACTTCTTCGAAGACGAGACGGTGCCCAAGATCGACAGCATCAATTCGGACCGGACGCCTTTCACCGTGCCGAGTGGTTCTCGGATGACCGCTTATTGGCCGTACGTAATTTATCAGAACACGAACACTTCGTTCCATCGCGTGGTTTACGATGGACATGGCAGCGGCTGGTTCAACGACACTGTGCAGGGCTGGGACCACCCGGATGATATTCCGTTGGGCGATACCAACTCTGGTATCGCCGTAGTGCCCATGTTGAGTAGCTTTCAAAGCCCATATACGGCAGGACTTGCATACCGTGATCCGAACGGCCTTCTCTCTATATTCCCGTTCGGTGGCTTCGATACGGGCGTAGCTTGGTATTTCGGTACGTAGGACCCTTTGAGCGTTTTCAACCCTGATGTTAGCTTCTTCGTGTATTAACGACTATGTAGGTACGCCCGGCGTCACGATCCCCTCGGGAACGTCTATCGCTGCATTCGCAATCGGGCGGCTGAATAGCAACACGACGAACACGTGGATCCTGTACCAAGACTCGAGCAATAAAATACAATCTGTCTGGCAGGGAGACGACAATATATGGCAGGGCCCCCAAGAGGTGGGCGATGCGGATGCCGGCACAGACATTGCGTGCTTAACCGAGCAGGTCGGCGATCAGCCTTCGCTGATAAGCCTAGCAAGTCAGACTGATATGAGACGTTGTTATTACCAATATAAAGGCCTAATTCGCGAGAAGCGACTTACATCTTCTAGCTGGGTGGACGGTGCCGCGATTCCGATGGAATAAGTCGGTTGGATCTTACGACGCATTAATTATTGTAATTGGGTAATGTAAAGACGGACATATATCATGGAATGAGGTTATAGGCTATGTAAATTCTATGGGAATAGTTAGCTCGAAGGCTCGGCGTATGCAGCGTGTCTAATGAGAAAAAAGTCGTAAACTGTGTGCGTATAGTAAAATGCTCTGGCTAGGGACAGGACTGCAGCTCTAAGCTATTATTCAATGTTTAATTTCTTCCAGTTATAAAGCTTCTCCAATAAGTGAATGCTACATGTCGAAGTAGACATGATAGCCGTGGACACTCTCGTTTCTTCACGTATAGACCTTAGTTTATAACACTATCGAAGTTCGACTTGGGGACGGGTTGCTACTTATCTCTTATCAATATGTACCGTGGCGAGCGAATTCAACACACCACCTGCAGTCTCGCCTCGAGTATTCAGATCATCTAGGAGAAATTCGGCATCAGATCTTTGATGACGAAGCTGGGTATCCCCTGATTGCCGTATATGTCGCTGCCTAGTAGACTGGTTGAATTCGAGAGCTTCCCAGTTCATGCTCCAGGCTGCAAGGAACGATATACAACCGGCAGTGAGCAGAATGATGAAGCATGCCCTAATGGCATCGACGATGGCTTTTACGGCCAACCGTAGCACCCTCGGGTCAGCATCCTTTAGAATTGGCGAATCAACGCCCGAGAGTAGCTCGCGGATACTTTCATCGGAGAACCCCATGCCTCCGACGGAATCTTTTAGTGACTCGAAGCCCGTACTCTGATAGACCATCCCTGCGATAGAAAGCGAGGCCGCAATGCCGCCTAACTGCGCCATGTTGCTTAGTAGAGCAAGATCCAGGCGGTCCTCGGTACTAGGTAGGAAAGTTGTGCATACTGGTACCCCTAACTGCCAGAGGATGCCAAGCCCAGCGGCGACAACGCTTTCGAATCCCATGACTGCCGACTCGGACATATTGGTGCTTAACATCTGGAATAGACCCCCACCCACTAGAAGGAAGGCAGATCCGACGACGAAGAAGGATTTATAAAATCGTAGTATAGGAAGTAGACGGCCGCATAGCATAATAGTGGATATGAAAACGCCAATGAAGGGCAGCAGTCGGGTTGCCGCCGCAAGCGGATCTAACCCGTGCCTGAAGGCGAAGTATATCGGCACATAATATAACGTAGCGCCGTACGACGCGGCAGCACAAAACGTGCAGATCCAAGTAAGGAGGATAGTCCGGTTGCGAAGGAGCGAGCTAGGAGATAACAAGCGGTTCTCAGGTGTTGTACCGAGATTATATGCCTGTTGTAGAACATATGTGATCACAAAGAAGGTGAAAAGGATCCAGGTGGCGATGCCGGGGTTAATGCCCCAGGTCCCTGTCGACCCGATAAACGCACAACTGATTGCAAAGAGGAGACAGGACCCTATATGCAGTAGATTGCCTATCCAGTCGACCTCCTTGATATGCGTCCATGTTGCTCTCGTGGTTGGCAAAGGCGCCCCCTGAAATACGTGTCAGTTATCACAGGTTAAAAGGTAGAATCATGAAGTTTTAAGAACTAGAATGAGACGAACCTATAATCGGACCCAGTACTAGACCCATGGCAAAGCAAGCACCGATAAAACTCTGTACGAGGCCAAGTTCATGGGGATAGGTAAAGACGATATTAAAACTCAGGATCCTATGATAGTTGTTAGAAAGTTGTTATCAAAACCTACCAAAGGACTAAAATATACCCTTGATATATGATGCTTGAGCCTAAGGCCATCACAGCACGTCCGGCGATGATACACTCGATATTAGGGGCAGCACCGGAGAGGGCGGAGCCTCCAATGATAAACATCATGGATGCGAGACACAACGTCTTAAAGTCTCCAAACTTAAAAAGTTTACGGCCCAGGGGAATCAAAGCGATATTGCAGACAGAATAGCCGAGTGCAACCCAGGACAGTAGTTCGATATGCCCGAAAGCTTTATAAATAGATGCCTGGATGTTGGCGACATTGCTGACATCGTATCCTAATTGTCTCGTAGGTAAGTATCTGGTGATAGAGGTAGAGTGGATAGTAACGGAACGGAAGTTTACCATGCATTATGGTTAGGAAACCATTGGCCACAAGCAATGCCCTCCATTTCCAAGTTGGTAGGCTGTCCCTGGGATGTGAAGCAGCAGCGGGAATATGTGATTGCATGCCCTCACCTTCCTGCGTGTTGGCATTTCCATGAGGATATTCCGAGTCCACTGCCACGAAATCCCCTGTGCCTACATTCGAACGTGACATATTGGGATAGAATATTCTACCACGTTTTCGCTCTGAAAAGTTGTAGGGATTCGTTATGGAATAAAGATAGAGTGGGTTAGAAGAACCATTAATCAAGTTATCCGACTGTTGGTGACCTTTGGTTACTCCATCAGATTTACGACCTGAACCGCGAGTCGTGCAGCAGGGTAACTCGATACCATAACCTTCAAATGCCTTTTTTCTGTTTTCACGACACTTCCCTTCTTAGTATATTGTTCCGTGTTATTGACAAGTAATTTTCTAGCAGTTTGGCCCCAGATTCTCCATTGTCCGCGAGTACTCTTTCACATCAGGTGGGTTAGCACAAGATTTACAGTGTGGACATGGATACCGGCAGCTCTTGATACAATTAGGTGAGAAAGAGGCGACGTATCGAAATTATGGTAATATTGCCTTTTTTTGAATTGGAATTGATTTGATAGAGCCTCAACTAATGTTAGTTTGAGACATCTTAAAGATGTAGATGTTAATGGAACGTTAGGAACAATGGTTCTAGGTTCCAACATTGGCACATGCACCTGCTTTACATGCAGGTCTTACATGAGGTAGGTAGCACATTGGAACTAGATATGGACCTGGCGGAAGTAGCGAATTAGGTACATACCTACCTAAGGTACCTACATGTAGGTATGTATCTACCTAATTTCGAGCAACGGCATGTACTTCCTTGCTGTTTCCATGTAATGACGGGACATTAGCTATTCATTTCGGTTGTGTAAGTATTTGATTGGACAGATATCAAATTCAAGTACCTGGCGCACCCTACGCAAAATTGGAATAGGCTGTAATACTCTCATGAAGCCTGAGCCGTCAATATGCTATCATCTGTACAACTACAGCGGCTATTCGGTAGTACAATGTGTACCAGACGCGACGACATCACCTCCATCATTTAAACCTTCAAGAATACCAGGACTAAAAAGTAAAATTAAAGAAGTACATTTCAGTAGAAATATACAGTGGATTACTTAGTGTCATTGGCATACAAGAATGAAAGCCCAAAGGATTTGCCCCTGACAGTAATACATTCGGCTTACACCAGTTTCTCAGTCTACCCTTCCAAAACCATTTGGTGTAAAAGCCCAGGGAGATATAGGCCATCTTCCTCCTCTCTCATATTAAGTCCCATCATTGCCCGCACAGCGGCAGAAGTCTCCTCCCGGTTATGGATATCGCCCGTCCATCCCAACCAACCCTTGCCAACCCTGCCAAATGCGATAGATGTCTGGGCCTGGATGGGAACAGGACCGAAAACACGAGACTCACTTGTTGATCCCGGGGGCGAAGCATACCACGAGTCGGCAGGAGGGACATTTTTGAGGAAAACTCCTTTCTGAGTATATGCAGCTGCTAGACCGTCATGCCAGAATTTTCGAGGGCCAACGGCAGAGCTCTGAAAGACAACTGTAGTTGTCTCGTACTGGCCATATCGCCAAGGCAAATCCCACACGTCTTTCATCCACTTATTGAAGTCGGTAGGCGCAACGCCCGTCGAGAAGAAACCACCCAGGATAACGATCCCTCCATTTCGGGCATAGTTGACAACCTTGCTGGACAGATCTTTATACTTTGGGGTTGCAATATCAGGGTCGACGATCCAGATGGCTCGAGCTGATGGATGCTCACTTAGAAGCTTCGCCGGGGCATTGCGCTTTGAGTAGGAGGCTTGGTAGATATTAGCTTTCTCCTTGATCTTCTTAAGGCCGCCTTCTAGTTCTCCGCAGCAGAACACCAAGATTGTGGGTTTAGTGTCAGTCATGGTTGAAGACAGGTGGGTTCAGGATGTAGATAGAACGGAGAGATTGGTTCAGAAAATGATTACGGAGGAAACTCATGAAGATTTTAAAGGCGTTTTAACGTGATCAAATAGTTTTTAGTGATACCTAACAATATAAGAGTTGCTCGGTGCCTATTTCCAGGTGATGGAGTTCCAGAATGTTCGACGAGGCAGCCCCGAACCCGTCTGCAAGGAAACGACAATATAGGTCGAAACACCCTTACTGGGGCCACCCTAGTGGGGGCCACCCATTTCCCATACAAAATCAACGATTTCGCATATTTATATTTAATTTAAAAATAAATAAATAAAAATATACGGTCTTTGATTTTAAATAAGGTATTATATTCTTATTATATATAAAAATTGGAAAAAATGTTAAGGTTAATATTTGTAGTAAAATAAATATAAAAGTATACATTAATAATTATATATATAAATTTATATGTAAAGCTGTTAAGGGATATTATTGCTTATAATTTTACCAATTAATATAATATAAATATAAAATTAATATTATTAAATAAAGACCGTTTTAATATAACTTTTAAATTAAATATAAAATATATGTCACACAATTAATATGTATTAAATAAGCGTTATATAAGGTTTAATTTATCATCTTTTTAATAATTTAATTGATTGAGGTAAAATTGTGGGAACGTATGTTATACCGTTATTTTATATAAAACTAAAGATTTTTAAATTATTTAATATAATTAATAAGTTAATTTAATTTAAAATATTTTAATATTTCTTTATTATTTAAATTATTAATAATTTAATTTTAACCCGGAAAAAGGCCTTTAATTACTTTTAATTATTATTAATATATATTTTTTATTTTATGGTTATCTTACCATTTAATTCTTATAATTGCTTTATTTATAAAAGGTTTCCAATATTTATTAAGGTTAATTAAGTTTTAAATTATTTATATAAATTTTTTATAAAGGTTTTAATAAATTTATTTACGATTATATCTTTTAAAATAACGTAATTTATTTTAATACGGTTTTATTAAGCTTTTTAACGTAGTTAATAATTATATATATTTATATATTTTAATTTAATTTTTAATTTTTTAATATCTTTATTAATTAATTTAATTAATTATTTATTATTATAGTTAATTTTAATAGTAAATTAATTTAAATTAATTTTAAAAGTGTAAATTAATTTTATAACGAATATAATTTTTTTTATTATTTGTAATAAGGTTAATAATTTAATTTTTATAATAAATATAATTATTATATTTTATTTATTAGTTTTTTAATTTATTATGTTTTTAAATAGTTTTATTACATATGTTTAAAAGTTTTTTTAATTATAAATATTATTAATAAATAAAGTATTGTTTGTAATTTTAAAAATATTATTCCCTTTTAATTATAACGTATATTTTTATATATATTTAAGGTATAAAATTATTTAATTTAATATATTAAACTGGTGCTGGTGTATCAGGTGACTTTAACCTTGATTATGTGATCATATTCTTAGTATAAGTACCATTTATGGTCGCACACACCCATTTTACATAGTATCATCCACTTTTAATACAAGTCATTCCTTTTTCC